TAAAATATATATTTTTTTAAAAAGGTACTATAAATTTATAAAAATGAAAATTATATTTAAAATTTTTTTTATTTCCCCAAGAATAATTTAAGCAGCAGTAATAATTGTAAATGTAAGCAACTGACAATGTCTAAAAAACTAGGTAATCAATTAAGCATTTGCCAGGGAAACAGATGGCAAATGACATGTTCTGTACCTCTCCTTAAGGGGAAGGAAGTTTTACCAGCTTTGAAGATGTTTACAACCTGGTGTAGTATATATGTTTCCTCAGATTTAAAACTTTTCTCAAAATCTGGAGACTGGCAAGTGAAGCAAAGGCCTGGGTCCTCAACCTGAACCTCCCTTAGCATCAGTTTCCTCGTGTATAAAATGAGAATACTACAATCTCCTTCACAGGCTTGTTTCGGGATTAAATGAGGTTACATAATGGAAAATATTTAACAGACCTAGTACATAGCAGGCATTGAACATTTGCCTTCCAGTCCCTGGTGTTATATTAGCAGAGTCAACAAGTACATGCCTCATAAAAGAAAAACTGAGCCGGGACCGGTTTGGCTCAATGGATAGAGCGTCGGCTTGGGGACTGAAGGGCCCCGGGTTCGATTCTGGTCAAGGGCATGAACCTTGGTTGCGGGCATATCCCCAGAAGGGGGTGTGCAAGAGGCAGCTGATCGATGACTCTCATTGATGTTTCTAACTTTCTATCTCTCTCCCTTCCTCTCTGTACAAAATCAATAAAATATATTTTTTTTTAAAAATGAGTTACAACTTTTTTTTTTTAATCCCAGGAATTGGGAAAGAGATTCTAAAAGAATTCCCCTACAACGAGATCTCTCTACTATTACAGTCAACTTTAAAGTTACTGAAAAATGTCCTGTGTATTTGACATCACCATCTGCCAACCTACTGCTAAAACTTAAAATAACACTTAAAATATATACATACTCACAGATTGCTTGCTCAGATTAGAGAGAAAATTCTATTCACAAGTTGCAATATGACACTTACAAGAAACAGATCACAGTCCTGAATGAAAATGTCCTTCCTATGACTGTAAACATTCTGACAAAGATGCTACATAATCAGTTCAGCAAATAAATAACTGAAAACAAAACGAGTATTTTCCAGCAGCCTTTGGCATTAGAGAGAAAGGTATAAACCAGAAGATAAATAATATAAAGGCTTATACATATACAATAATAACAAGATACCTTACCCTAGAACTTAGAATGCCTGAAGTGACTTATGAATTTAATTTAAAAGTTTGTCATGTTATTTATCAATTATCATTATTTAAAACAGTCCACCAGGTAATACAGACATACAGAAATCTTTTGACAGAATGATTTCCCTTCTATGACATAAATTAAGGAGCAAAAATGGGAGGGCCTTAGCTGGCTTGGTTCAGTGGATAAAACATTGACCTGAGGACTAAAGAGGCCCAGGTTCGATTCCAGTCAAGGGCACATGCCTGGGTTTCAGGCTCAATCCCCAGTAGGGGGTGTGCAGGAGACAACCCATCAATGATTCTGTCTCATCATTGATGTTTCTCTCTCTCTCTCCCTCTCCCTCTTCCTTCTTCGCTGAAATCAATAAAATAAAAAAAATTTTTTTTTTTTTGATGGGAGGAATAAAATGAATATCTACAATACATTTTTTTCAACTAGGTAAATGCTATTTTAATCAGGACTAGATTCATTGCTCCTGTGCAGATTAATTTTATTTGGCAACTTAGCTAGGCCACAATAACCAGATTTAGTCAAATATTATTCTAGATGTTTCTGTGAAACTCTTTTAGATAAGATTAACATGTAAGTCAACATAACTTGAGTTAAGTAGATTGTACTCTATCATGTGAGAGGGGCATATCCAATCCGTTGAAAGCTTTAATAATAATTTTTGTTAACATCTTCTTGGAGGAACAGGGAATTCTGCATCCAGATTAAGATTGCTATTTTTCTCCTGGTCTCCAGATTTTGGGCTTACCAGCCTTGACAGTTATGTGAGCCAATTTTTTAGAATCTCTTACTCACATACACACACACACACACACACACACACACACACACAAAACCCTACCTCTCACATTTCATTGGTTCTCTGGAGAACACTAATTTAATCCATATACCATCAAATTCAACATTCAGTAAATTATCTTATCACCGTACACTTACTATATTAGCTTATCCTATATAATCCTATATAATAAAGAGCTAATATGCTCATTAGACCAGCAGAACGACCTTCCAAAATGACTTTCTGGAATGACCAGTGGGAAGAGCCATGGCGACACGAGGCAGCCAGGGCTGCGATGGGCTGAGCCCCTTGCACGACTTTTGTGCATGAGGCCTCTCGTCTATATATATAGAAGCCTAATATGCTAAGTGTCCAACCGATCTGTCAAACATTCGGTTAATCACTCGACCAGTCACTATGACCACCCAATCACTATGACCACGAGGGGCAGACGCTCCATCAGGTAGTTAGCTTGCTGCTGTGGTCTGGCTGAGGTCTCTCCCCAGCCTGCTGACCCCATCGGCCCCAATCAGGACTGGGAGAGAGGGCCCTGATTGGCACTGATCACCAGTCAAGCTGAGGGACCCCACCCATGCACAAATTCATGCACCAGGCCTCTTGTTTTTTGAGAAAGTGATATGGTAATAAATTAACCCTACAGAAATAAAAAATAATAATCTCCTTAATCTTACAGCTAGCAGCACTGATAAGAAACAGAACATCTTTCAAAAACTACAATCCAAACTCAGCAGGTAGCTGAGTGTCTTCCACAAACATCTTTTTGAGGGGCTTCCATAGGCCTTCCTGCCCCTGAATTACAGAGAGCTAAATAAACATCATGAAAGTGAAAACACCTGAGTGTCCCATCACCATAGTAGCTCATCCTCCTCTGTGGTTCACATTCTCTTCCAGCTCCCTCATCAACACATCAGAACCCTGGTTATTCTGCCGACTTGAATATGGTATTGAGTTCCTCTAGAAAGTTTAGTATTTCATTTTTTGTATCTCTTCAACACCAGAATTTCCATTTGGTTTTTCTATAATTTCTAACTCCCTATTGAGACCCCCTATTTGTTGAATCATCATTATCATACATTCCTTTAACAGCTGCTTTAAAAACCCTTTGCTGTAGAATTTAACCATGGAGACAATCAGCTTCTATTTCCTTTTTTCTTCAATCTATCACATTTTCCTGTTTCTTGACATGTGTCATAATTTTATGTTGAAAATTAAACATTTTCTATAATACGGTATAACATTTCTGGGATCTGTCTTCCTACATAATGTGAAGTTTTACTTCTCTTTAAGTCTTGTTTTTTATTTTAAAGTCTGGTTTCCTGATGGGTTGCCCGTCTGTCCATGTAGCTTGGTGGTTAGCTGAGATTTTGCTCGAATACTCTAAGTCAACATAAGTTGTCATCCTTCCCAAAAGAATCTGTGTGTGGACAGGGGAGCACATTCAACATTCATAACATTTTCAAGACTCCCAAGGTTTTCATTCCCCCAGACTCTTTCATGGGTCCTCTGCACATACCTGAAGCCACTGCCCTCACAACTCAGATACCCCCAGACTACCGTGGACAATGTTCCTGGGCTGGCAAAACCTGCTGCTACAAGTGGAATGTGTATCTTCCAACCACAGCAGGGAAAGTGCCCATCCTCATGATCTTCCCTACTCTTGAAGAATCAACCAAATTAGAAGGACGACAGGTGGAGTGTGATGGGAGCAGCTCCAGGAATGAATGCTACAGATTCCCATTGTTACAACTGAAAGTTTAAACACTTCTCAAACATAAACACTTTTCAGATTGTTGTAAGCCATTGCTTGAGTTCCAGAGCACTGAAATGATTGCTTCTGCCTGTTTCACAGATAATCTTAGTCCTAAATCATAAACTTCCATCATTCTTAAATGTATTTACACCAGTTTCTGTTCTACTTTATAGCTTTATAACTACTTTGGAAGTCTTTACTCTTCTATATGTATTGCCAAACCTCCCATTCTTTTAGATCCAACACATGCACACCTTCTTCATGAGGTCTTCACCCCTTAATCCACATACACAATGATCTCTACTTTCGCTGAATTCCTTTTATACATAATCCTATATAATAAAAGGGTAATATGCAAATTGACGCTAATGCAATAACAGGGAACAACCAATCGCTATGATCAGCACTGACCGCTAGGGGGCAGACGCTCAACACAGGAGCTGCCCCCTGCTGGTCAGTGCACTTCCACAGAGGGAGTACCACTCAGCCAAAAGCTGGCTCATGGCTGGCCAGTGCAGCAGCCGTGGCGGGAGCCTCTCCCACCTCCTCAGCAGCACTAAGGATGTCCAACTGCAGCTAAGGTGCGCTCCCCGAGCTGCCAGAGGGATGTCTGATACCCCAGGGAGCGGTCCTAAGCTGGCAGGTGGACAACCCCCAAGGGTCCTGGACTGTGAGAGGGCCTCTAGTTATTTTATTATTATTTTCTGTGTGTTATACTTTTTTTCCCAGCTATATCCTTAAGGCTTTGGGACAAAGAATTGAGTTTTCATACTTTTGTATCTTTACCCCATACCTGACATATTGCTAACTATACTGTAAATTTGTGCCTAGTTCAACCCCCAAATTTAAAATTATAACACATGTAGTCAAACCACTTCCCTAAAAAAGCACAAGACACTAAAATCTAATCATGTTATACCATTAACACATTCTTCCCTTCTTCACTGAATCCATGATCTAAAGTGCACACATGAGTTGAAAGCATGTGACAGGGACTCCTGCTTGCCAAAGCTAATACCCATTTTAATCATCTCCCTTACTAAAAAAATTAGTATTCTCCTTGCAGTGAGGAGTTCGAGTTGAGGAGATGTACTAACTGAAAACACAGTAGTCATCTTAAAATCATTGGGGAGATGAGTCATCAAAAGTTTTCCCTCTGAAATATAATACAAATTTTTAATAATGGTTTAAAGAATTTTTAAAATTTCCTTACCCAGAAGATCCATTGCTCTTACAAACACCAAGAAGGGGCCTTTTCTCTGCAAAGCTGTCACACTTTTGAGTACCTGATATGGAATATAAAATGTAAAACAAAATTTTGAGAAGTATTCTTACATAATGCCCATTATTTTCATGCTCTCAGAATATTTACAGCCAAAGAAATACCAAAACATTCATTAAAAATTGATATGATTTTTATACTAGTTTTTAGCAAAACTGGAAAATGTATAAATAAACCTGTAATTATTTTTAATTGAATAAAATATATTTTCTTTTAATTGGCATAAACTTAAAACTTATACACATTCTTCAGGAGCTCAAAAAATCACCCCCAATTCTACCAACTAATTACCTAGGAATAGTATGATCTTGATTTTAAAACTAAATAAAGGTAAGTCAGGAAAGGGAAATTATAAAATTATAGGCCATTCTCAAAACATAAATGCAAATGCAAATATCCTTTAAAAATATTAAACTAAATACCAATGTATTAGGAAAAGTAAAATCTTATAACCAAGTTGGATTTACCCAAGTAATAGTAATAATTTTACATTATAAAACCAATTAACATATTCAACCTATTGTTTTAGCAGATGCAGAAAAGCATTCAATTAAATTATACAGACAGTAATGATAATAACAAAAGAAGCAACAAAAAATTTTCTTACCACAATAATGATTATCTACAAAAGAACTACAAGAATCATTGGTAATGTTTCAGAGCATTCCTATTAAAATCAGCAATAACAAAAGGATGCCCAATGTAACTGCTCTCATTCAACCCTATACTGGATGAACCAGACAGGATAATAATAATCAATGAACTCAAAAATATTACAGGATATGAAACCAATATAATAGCAGCAACGACCATAAAAATAAAGTCATGAAATGCAAATGTATCTAAATCCAGGCAAGGAGGGGAAGGAGGAGGAGGAGGAGATTTTGTCACCTGCCTACACATAGAAGAATCTTGAGAATCTTGAGAACATTATGCTAAGTGAAATAAGTAATAAAATAAAAAAAAAGACAAATACTCTATTATTCCACTTATTTGAAGCTTGTAGTCAAACTCATAGAAACAGAAAGTGAAATGCTGTTACCAGTGACTGGGGTGGATGAAGAAATGGAGAGGGCTGTTCACAGGGTACAAAGTTACAGTTTTATAAGCAGAAATAGTTCTAGAGTTCTGTGAATGTATTAGCACTACTAAATAGTGCAGTTAAAATCTGTCCAGATAGTAAATTTTGTTAGGCAATTTTTATAGTTTTATTACAGATTTTTGAAAAAGATAGAAATAAGTTGTATGTGTGGTTAGACACTTATATACATACATATTTTGTTATATGAAGCACAGAATGCATAAACTTATAAAGATAAACAACAATTTCAAAATAGGGATCTATTCCTTAGGGAATTATGATAAAAGTATTTGGGAGAGACAGGGAACTTCAACACTTCTTAAACAATATTTTCTGACTCTTCACTAATATTCCATTTCAATGGATCTCTCCAAAAATTATGAGGTTTTAATACGGAGGATGCACCTTAATAGTTACACATTTAAACTGTGACATGACATAATATAAATATTTTTAAATTTTAAATATAGTGGTTATACAAAATAAGTTAGGGCAAGTTTTTTCATCCCTTGACAGACTCTATTATCAACACAAGAATATGATAAAGATCAAAACTAAAACACAATTAATGTTTACTAATAAAGTTCTTTATAACTATTTAAACTTTTTAGGAACTACAGCAATCAGTGTTTAAGTCTTTAAAAATCATTAATTACTATGGATTGTATGCCATTACCCCTTCAAAACAAATAAATCAGATTTCACAGTTAACAATGTGCCTTGAACGAAGCACAAGTTAAAAATTAACTGGTTCTTAGAGCCCTATTATTGATGTTTAAATTTTATTTTAATTAGTAAAAAAGGGTGAGATGTAGAGGGCCTCCTGAGAAGGCACATGGACATTCTTTTAATTCTTATCTGCTGAGCCCGAGGGCACTGGCAGAATCCTCTTATCAGTACTGATTTCTTAATCAAATGCTTGGAATGAGGAACAAATAGCACTTTGACTCACCCAGGTCTCCATATGCTAAATCTTGTACCAAAAAATAAAGAGCTTACCCAGATTTTGATGAATAGGATCTGGGCACACCCGAAACTCTTTTTGACTTTAAACTTCCCTTTGGAAGCCAATAAAAATAAAAATTAAAAACAAAAAACTAAGAGAATTAAAAAACCTGATGAACAATATTAACTGTTGAATATAATAGAATCAGAGGTATGGCCGAAACTGGTTTGGCTCAGTGGATAGAGTGTCGGCGAGGGGACTGAAGGGTCCCGGGTTGATTCCAGTCAAGGGCATGTACCTTGGTTGTGGGCACATCCCCAGTGGGGGGTGTGCAAGAGGCAGCTGATGGATGACTCTCTCTCATCGATGTTTCTAACTTGCTATCTCTCTCCCTTCCTCTCTGTACAAAATCAATAAAATATATTTAAAAAAAAAAAAAAAAAAGAATCATAGGTATGGAAGGGGAGTAAACTGATGATTCTCAGGGAAAAGAGGAGTTGGGGGTGCGAGAAGAGACTGAACATATACCGCACACCTATGGATGGGGACAATGGGGGGTGGGGAAAGGGCAGAGGGTGGGGTAGGAACCTGGTGGAGGGGGAAAAAATGAGGAACTTTTGTAATACAGTAATAGTAACAATATAGGTTTCTTAAATAATAATAATAATAATAATAATAATAATAAATTAACTGGTCCAAAGCCCACAATCTTTATGTTCTAAATTAATTATGACTGAACTTCATCTCTTCAAGCCTAGCTCTTCACTCCTACCTATTTCACTTCCACCTTTAACAATAGCTATTTTCATTCTGCTTCCTGGTATCAGCAAGGTCTTCACAGCTTGTACCTGGATTCAGCACACCACTTTGACATGCTGATGAATGAAATTTCATGGTCTTAAAATGCAAATAATCCTGGCAAAAATGGTTTGATTGTTTTGGGTTTCTCAAACCTGAATTCAAGAACTCCATTGGTTTAGCTGACCTGATCAATTAGTTCAACAAACTATAGAAGATCAACCACCTAATACTTACTAAAGACTCATACTCTTCATGGGTATTTAGCGAAGAAATCAAAGAAAAAAAAATTTTTTTTAAGTACAAATTCAAGTAGTTGGAAAACTAAAAAGCAAAACCTTAATTCTGCTTTAAATAATTTCACTGAGGGTAGTTTGGATAAATACAATTCTAAAAGTGTTAGCATAAAAATTCTACAATCTTATGAACACTGTAGCTATTAACTTGATTTTTCATGCAGTATAAATAGTAGCATGTACTCTCCATGATACTTAATGGAGTCATCACTCTCCCATACTGTAATCCTCCAAACTGTAGAGGATTAACTTTTTATATATAAAATTGTGTTTATTTGCATGTACAATAGAGAGAATGACGTTACACACACCTGTTCTACAGCATTTAACAGAATGCAGCATGGTGATTGAAATGAAAACCAGCTAGCCAAATCCATCAAATATAAAATCTACTGCAATCCTGTTGCAAAGTCCTTTTGTTAAACTCCTTTTAGTCTAAATCCTTTTAATTCTGTCCTATAACACTAAAACATTTATAAAAAGCTTAAAATCCTAATAAATCGCACAATTAAAGTAATGAAAATGGGCTTGCCCACGAAGTCACAACTCCAACCCCTCTCAAAAAATTCAAGACAGTTTGAATGTCAGAAAATGTTAAATAATAGCCCTCACCATACATGCCATTGTAAATTCATTTAAACCAATGAGTTTAAGCTCATAAATCAGCCTTAAGGATTTCAAGATAGCAAATAGAAACCACTTCTGTGAGGATCCAAAAGCAAATCCAGATGCAAATAAAAATCCAACTGATAATGAAATATTCCAACTCTGCTCTTTTGATGTTGTGGATGATGTCTTAAGTATAAATATTTTACACAAAACTATGCTAATAGTAATAAATTCTAAGTGTGAGAATCTTTTGCAGAAAGATTCTATTGAACAACTTCATGCATTTTATCAGTTAAACCTGTGGTTGGCAAACTGCAACTCACAAGCCACATATGGCTCTTTGGCCTCTTGAGTGTGGCTCTTCCACAAAATACCTCAACCTGGGTGAGTCGATTTTGAATAAGTGACGTTAGAAAAACTTTTTAAAAGTTGGCTCTCAAAAGAAATATCAATCGTTGTACTGTTGATTAATGAGTTTGATAACCACTGAGTAAAACCATTTCCAAGACTTCCATTCCATTTTTTATTTACTTGAAATAATTACTTTAGAAAATATTTAATTCTGATTGTCTACATCCAGTTTTTTTCATAGATTCTCTTAATGTGAGAATAAAATTGTAGTCATATATTACAGGTCTAAATTTTGGCTAAAAAAATAAGATTCTGTGTTAGAACAGCGGCCAGGCCTAGAGTGCCCAGGCACAAAGCAATGGCAACTGGGCCCGGAGCAGCAACGGCCAGGCCCCAGAGCAGCAGCAGCCAGAACCAGAGCAACAACACCCAGCACTGGAGCAGCCAGACCTGGGGCAGTGGCAGCCAGGCCTGAGACAGAGGCAGCCAAGCCCAGGGAGGCCAGTCCAGGAACACCCAGACCCGGAGTGGCCGGGCCCGGAGAAGCCGGGCCCAGAGCAGCCGGGTTGGGAGCAGCCAGGTCCAGAACAGCAGTAGCCAAGCCCGGAGCATCCAGGCTGGGAGCGGCCAGACTCGGAGCGGCCGGGCCCGTGGCAGCTGGGCCCAGAGCAGCCGGGTCTGGTGCGGCCAGGCCCGGAGCAGCAGCTGCCAGGCTGGGAGCAGCCAGGCCCGGAGCAGCCGGGTCTGGTGCGGCCAGGCCCGGAGCAGCCGGGTCGGGTGCGGCCAGGCCCGGAGCAGCGGCTGCCAGGCTGGGAGCGGCCAGGCCCGGAGCAGCCGGGTCTGGTGTGGCCAGGCCCGGAGCAGCGGCTGCCAGGCTGGGAGCAGCCAGGCCCGGAGCAGCGGCTGCCAGGCTGGGAGCGGCC